TCTCTCTGTCTGGGCTGGAGATGAGTCCACTGCTTTATTCAGAGGCTTGGGATGGGGTGAACTGGGAAAGCTGGGACTCCTGGAGAGCCCTCTAAGTTCAGAACCCTCTCTGATTGTATTATCCAGAGGAAATATGTGGAGCTAAATCGGAGGAGACGGCTGGGAAGTGCATTATGGAACATTAAACAATAGCTGATCAGCATCAGACGCAAATAAATGGCCCATCATCTACTGCCAAGCACATGATTGGTTCCCAAGCGGAGCCCTGGCTGGCTTCCAGGCAGGGGCGCACAGGGCCAGACATCATGTCCCATAGGCTGCAAAACGCCTGCTGTGGGTCATAGCCCAGGGGCCAACAGGAGGAGATTTCGGCACCCGGACAGAATCCACATCCTTCTACATGATCTCACTCTGCAGAATGAGATTTAGGTCTTCTCACCATCTGGTCCCTGAGACCTGGACCCAAATCTCATCTGAAGAGTCCCTGCCTGCCTGAGAAATCCTACGGTGGAAGAAGGAAGCCGCATGTGTCTGCGTGGGTTTAGGGTAGGTTCATTCACAATGGCTGAAGAGAATGTCTGTGAAGTGGTATTCCCTTCCTTGACTCCAGGAAGGCCTCATCCTCCAAAATACCCTGCATGAAGCTCATCTCTCTAGAGAATCCTTTAGCTGAGATCTTAAATCCCTGTTAAAATACAAATACCTTCAAAGGAAAGATAAACCAGAACCCTGGCAAGTCATACACACTTTAGTATAAAATAATCTTCAATCTTTTGCTAAGACCCTTGGGCACTGATATCCTCAGGAGAAGGTAGGAGGGAACGGAGAATAAAGAATCTAGAGCTGAGTTTCCAGAGGACAGGAGGATAGCCTGCAGGACTTCAAAAGCTAATAATATCACTATTTATCCACGGCCATAAGTAAATTTGGTCTACATTGGCAAAAACCTCACACTTATCAGAAGGCCGGATTCCAGTCTCCAGCTTTCCCACACACCAGCTGTGTGATCTTGGGCAAGTCACTTAACCTCTCTGAGCCTCCATTTCCTCATCTGAAAAGTAGGAGTGACCCCCACACCTATCCCAGGAGTGCAGTGAGAATTACATAAATTGAAATGTCTGGAAGGTCTGCCCTGCCATAGATATTATTGTCCTTGGGTCTGTGCCACCACATTCTAGAAACTGTACAACTCCTGAGCTACATGTGTGGATGGATATTGGAGCTGAGTCAACCCACAGACCCATAGTGAGCCCAGCCAGGGCCAGCCAAACCCGGGCTAGATCAGCTGCTCCTTGGTTGGCCCACAAACACATGAACTTCAGTGATAAATGCTTGTTGTTTAAGCCACTGAATGTTAGCGTGATTTATTACCCACAATGGTCAAAACAATACACCAAAGTTCGGGCTCCCGACGTTTTTAATTTTAGGGGCATGTTCAATAGAAATCATTCTAAAATACATCTGACACTTATCTGCCCTCTGAAATAAAATAAAATGAACACAATTCAGTCTTCCCTGGGTCATTCAGGGCCATCTCAATGAAACCAGTCAATGTGCTGGAAGCCAATGATGCCTTCAGGACTTACACACAGAAAGGAGGCTCCAGAAATAACTCCAGCCTATTCTTTTTGATCTCAGAACTATCCCCTCGTTCTCTATCGTTTTTCCCATAATCAGTTTTATCAGCTGTCTTTTTTGTTGTTGTCACGTGTCTATCTTAAGCAGCAGCACCCCCCGCCCGCAATCTAATGTGCTACAGCTAATTCAGCACCCTTCAAGAAACCTGCTCTCCATGCCTGTTAGCAAGGTGCCCAAAGGGAGAGTCGATCGGCTTGGAGTAAGGGCCTGAGCTCGTTTTCTGTGAATCAAATGCATGTGCTTTAGTGCTGGGATTTCTATCATCAACTTTGGCCTCTTGGATGCTTTTTGTGCCCTTCCAGGTTCTCCTCTGAGACCTGCAGTGTGTTGCCAGGTAATGCTCATCTGATCCAGACAGCTGGTGCTGTGTCGGGCACTGTTGGAATACAGTGTTTGCTGAAGAGAGAAGGCAAGCCTAGCCCGCAGGCCTGAAGGAGCTCTTCCTCCATCAGTGCCCTCTCTGGGGTACTCAGTGCACGGCCTGTGCTGCCCGTGTTTCAGCAGCAGGTGACCACGGGTTCCCCAGAGTAGAGGTGGTGTCCCCCCTGTCTCTGGGTCCCCTGCAGCACTCAGCGCCATGCCAGGCACACCGTAGGCCCTCACTAAGGGGTGGTGGGTGGAATAAAAAGGTCTTCCTTGTGGCCCTTGTTTCCATGTGCACAGGGCTTGTCTTCTTCAGAAGAGTGAAAATCTACAAGCTTCCGAATGTAGACTATTTCACATCGAATTGTTGGAAAGCATTGTAAAGTATTAAAGTTCTCCCGTGTCAGGGAACAGTCCCCATACGTTTATGTCTGAACTGGGCTCTCAGGTAAGCCCTGGAGATGAAATGAAGGGGACAAAGCCAAGTGACTCTCCAGGAGAAAGCGGGTATTTTTTGTTCTATTGAGCTGTCACCTTAGTGACTCCCCGTGGGTCTACCTCATTGTTTTGCCAAATGTCTAAAGACCACATTCCCAGCCAGAAGATCCGGATTTAGCAGTTCCCGAGGCAGTGCCTATGGATGTGTGGGCTAGCTATCCCACGTTCCCCTCCTTCCTTCATTCTGCGCCCAGAGCCAACCAGCATAGACGGCATCAAGGGGCTCCCCCGCCCCCTGGCTTCAGGTTGGGCTTGGCCAATGGGAGGCACTGCCAAGAGGTGGTTGGATTGGAGGCGAGAGATTGGGGTATTTCTTCTCCCCTTTCTCCCTGCTTTGGGTCCCTCTGTGATCAACGGTCCTGCTCAGGGGCCCCTCCTCCAAGGTCGCAAATCTTCCTGGGATCCATTTGCCCCTTTCCCCGTCTTGTCCTTTCAAGCACAGGGCGACAAAGGCTTCCCTCCACCGCTAATTGCTCAGCATTCCTTGGTGGTTCCCTTAACCCCACCCACACCTTTGAGAGTGGTCCCTGCATTCAAGTTTTTTCATCAGAACCATCTGAGCTGTTGCTTTTTCCTGCTGTTACCTTGATCTGTACCATACACAGCCTTACCTAGAGCCTTACCCTGACTGGTACCGTACAGAAGCTTACCAAGAGACGTCTAAGCGGTGCCAGGGCTCTCTCTAAGGCCACGAGTTCAGAGGAAATCAGAGCTTCTTCTCTTTCTAACTTTCAGAACTCATTAGCCATTTTGGCTCTCTCTAAATTAACTGACACAAAATGATGGCAAACCCCCATCTATGGATGAGAAAGTTTTTATTCCTTCATTCACTCATCCAGTCACCCAATATTTATTGAGCACCCACCACGTGCCAGGGACTGTTCTGACCCTGGGGAAACGGTGATAATGTACAAGACAGATGCAGTCCCTGCCCACATGATGCTTCCAGTCTAAGGTCAACTGTCTTCCAGAAGTCAGAGCCCACAGAGGCAGAGCTGGACCAGAAACCCAAGTTACCGTAAGTTCTGGGCCTTCAGCAGATTCTCAAATGTGCTGGATCTATGGCCCAAACAAGCTTAAGAACCACCAAGTTAGACCAAATCAACTCCCAAGCTTCCCCCTTGAATAGGGGGACAATGACACACACACTCAGAAGCTTGCTGCTCTCAACTTGAACCTGTGGGGGCATGTTGGCACACACCCATGGTGGCACAAACACCCACCTTTCCTGCCCACTTCTCACTCCCCCCCCACCCCAGTATTCTCCACAAATTCTCTTCCCCCCGTCTTCAGTTCCTCACACTTTTATAATTAGCCCATGCCCTTCTCCGAGTCCTTCCTTCAGGGCCCACAAACGTTGGCAGCACGACATGTCAATGAACTGATTTTATGAATGGAGAGAGGTCGGGGACTGGATTCAGAAATGTGCCCTCTCTGAGAGCCTGTGTTTCCAGCAAAGGCCCTGAGAGTGAAATTTCTTCCTCCATTAAAGTAGTTATGAGATTCGTGTTGCAGGGCATGGCTGAAACTGGCGTTGCTGGGGAGAGCCAAGGGTGGCTGAGGTGCACGGAGGGAGGCTGTGACGGGACAAGGCAGCAAAGCCTGGGGTCTGCCTGCCTCCCTCCAGCCCTCCAGAGGCATCTGAGTTTCCTCAGAAAGGTTTTAATAGGCCATGCGGGTAACCCGATACTTCCCCCTGCTCTGGGTCGGTTAGGACAAGGGCAACAGCCTGGTGCCCTCAGAAAAGGTTGGCAGGCTGGCAGAAAAAGCCCCTTTCTCCAAATCGCCCAGCCCTACACCTGGTGGACACACCGCGCTCAAAGCCTGGCTGTCAATCTGGAACCCCTCCATCTCTCCCCAGAAAGCCCCCTTCTCCCGGGACCTCCAGCTGCCTTATCAAGGCAGAAGTCCCACCCCAGGGAGAGAAGGCACAACAGGAAAGCAGACAGGGCTGGAGAAATGGAAGACCTAGTTCCGAGGCTGCAAGGGAGCCCCTGGCCCCCCGGAGAATCAACTGGACTCCCTTTCCTTCTGGTGGGATGGTCCTGGTGGTGGATGCTGCGTGAGTGGGGCAGAGGCGTGTTCGCTCCACCACATCCCCATTGAGTTAAGCCGCCTTCAGAAGGGGTCAGGGATGTATTTATAGAAACGTCGGGGATTCACTTCTCTCTCACTTGCGCTTCTCTCTGTCTCTTTTAAGCTCCTTACAATTCCCAACCAAAATGAAATCATGCAGCAAACGGGGAGAAGTGGGAGAGGCAGAAGACATTTGTAAAGGGTCTCTGGTTTTGAGCAGCTGGGTGGGGGCCATTTGGAACAAGGACAGAAGGGGCTTCTGAGACAAGCTCGGGTGACAGGACGCTGCTGGGTTGACCGTCTGCCCCCAGCCTCCCTCCACAGACAGTAGAATGGGAAAAATATCAGGACACATTGCAAAGCCATCTTTCTTCCTCCCCGGCCCCCGACAGATGGAAGAGAGGAAAGTTGTGGTCATCATTTACCTGCTGAAATTGGGAGGACGCTGTTGATGAAAGTGGGCTGCGACACGATAAAGCGGAAGAAAAGCTGAAGATAAATTCCCAAAGTCATTGGATTCAGGACAACCATGCTGGCTGGGGTCTGGCCAGTGTCAAGTTCTGGAGGCAAGGCTGCCGTGGAGCCTTGCTTATCTCTGCTTTTGTCTCCCTCACTGCTGTTTGCCTCTCCCTCTCTCTCTCTCCTTCTCTCTCTCTCTCTCTCTCCCTCCCCCTCCCTCTCTCTCTCCCTCTCTCCTTTCCCCAGGCCTTGACCAAGAAAGAATGCCAACCATTTCCCATTAAACCTTCTCCGTACTACACAGGGTTATATTTATCTCAAGCACTGGATCAAATGCCCACAGTAAAATTAAGATGTGAGAATTTTCTGTTTTGGAGACTGAGATCAGCCGCTGTGGAAGAGGGATGAGAAGGCAGCCAAGTCCAAAATGTTCAGTGGCCGCAGTCCTCAAGCGCAGATAGAGTCCCTGATGGATTGTCCATCGGCATCTACCTGCTCAGCACTGAGGTGTCTACAGCATCACGGAATCAACTCTCCTGCTGAAAACAGAATTTCCATGGAGACAAATCCCTCCGTGGTCAGCCTGTGACATTTTCACCCACTGGGTGACAAATGTAAAGCTGACCTTGGATTATTTTTCTTTAATCATCCAGTAAAAAAAGAGGAGGGGGGAGTTTAGATTTTCCCAAACAGCTTTCTCCATGAAAAAGTGTTCTTTCTCCAGAAGCTGCCAGCTTTTAGCCTAGGCAAAGCAAAATAAAAGGAAAGAGTGAATGATTATCAAACTATATTTGGAGAAATAGCATCAAAGACTTGATCTTTGGCTGGACAAAATTCTTCAAATAAAAGTATTGCATCCTTAAATGAATACCTCTTGAGAGGTTATAAAGTCTGTTATAGGGATCCTTAGATTACTAAAATAATTAAAACATCCAGAGAGTTGTCCACTTTGCTTTAATTTACATAACATAACATACTCCCCGTACCTCATGGGAGTTAATTCGGAAATGGTTTGGTGGTTACTGGACTCCAGGGTGGGCCTCCCTGAGGAAGAGCACCGACCTTCGTTCTGGGGAAGGCACAGCAGAAGCCGATACTCCATAGCGCTAGCATCGGTCCAGCTTGATTCTCTGCTCTGCTGTGACAGTGGACAAATTGTTTGACCTCTCTAAGCCTCAGTTTTCTCATCATAAAATGGAGGCAATGTTCTTTTAAAGGTTTGTTGGAAAGGTTAAATGCAGTAACATGGGCTGAATTAAAATTTGTATATAGAGACAGCAAAAATGAAACCCAGGGAGCAGTGGTAGATTAGGTGCAAAAATGGCCACCAAAAATCTCCCCCATCCCTGTATGCCCATGCCGCTCTTCCCAAGAAGAGGTGGAGTCTATTTCTCCTCCGGTCCAACTGGGCTGGCCTTGTGATTGGCTTTGACCAATAGAGTGTGGCACAAGTGACACTGTGCTATTTCCAGGCTGAGGCCTTAACAAGCCTGGCAGCTTCTGCCTTTGCCTCTTCGTGGAAACAAACTGCCACATAAAAAAGTCTGGACTACTGGACAGGCAACAGGGAAAGGCCCCCAGCTGTCTGGCCATCTCAGATGAGTCATTAGCCATGTGAGTGAGGCCAGTTTGGATCATCTAGTCCCATTTAGGTCTCCAGATGATGGCGGTCACAGAAGTGACTCCAGGTGAGACCAGCTAAAGAACTGCCTACAAGAAACTAGCCCAGAATACAGATTTGTGGGCAAAGAACACAGCTATTGTTTAAGCCACTAGGTTTTAGGATGATTTGTTACGCAGCAATAGCTAACTGATACAGAGTTCATAAGAAAAGCTTTTGAAAATGTGACAAATAGACTTGGGTTACATTCAAAATTAACAGGACAGCTTAAAGAGTGGGTATCCCCATTTACCTGCTCCCAAAATGTTTAACAGAAGGACCTGTGATTGTTGGCTAAACCCAACCAGGAAATTTTCAGACTTGCTCCTGTTAAGTCTTGAAACCTACAGCCCCAGCAGTGGGCTTGTGGTGGCTTGGAGAAGATGCAGTCTACCTGGGAGGAAGGTAATTCTTGAGTAACTTGGTACCAGAGTCTGAACTTTCACCATCAAGCTCTGCTTCCTCTTCTGCAAAGCAAGAGTGACTTCTTCCTTCTCTCAGCACACACATTTCATGACTGACAAAAATCATGTCAATATGTCCTGCCTGTCACACCTGCTGGTATTGGTTTTGAAGTGCCTCTAAACCACCTTGTGTTGCTATTTAACCTGTATTAATTTCCCTAAAGATGGAGGACTGACCGAGAGCTCTGTGTACCCCAGGACGGTCCTTGTCACCTAATAGGTCCTCAACAATGTCAGTTAATTTGATCAAATCGCACTATTGTGGGATGAAAAGAAAGTAGGAAAAGTGGCATAATTTTATGCTCCAGCCACACTGAGCAACTTGCATTTCCCAGCACCCCTTTGTGCCTTTGCACATACAGCTGGCTGGCATGGACCTGGTACAAGGGAGGGCTTTGGTGAGTATGGTGAGAGAGTGAGAGGGAATGTGTACAGACGGCCGCCCAGAGTTAGGGCCTGCAAACAGGAGGCTGAATGGACACATTCAGGCCACTGGGGGCGAGTCACTGCTGATGTAAATTTACATTTACCCTTTGCGGAGGCCCCAGCACAGGTGTTTGTAAGCCCCCAAAACTTATTAAACAGTTTTTTGTAAATTTCCACTTCCCATGTACCCTGTATTTTATGAGTCTGTTTCTTATGAGGTTACCCTAACTGACCGAGGCAGAAATTATCATCTTTCTTCAAACTCTCCTGGAAAGGCTCTGAATCTTTCAGAATCTAATAATACAGGCTATTAGATTTGTCCAGAAGGAAATTATTTGAGATTTGTGAAAGGCTTACACCAATAAAGCCCATCAAAGTTAGAGCATTCCCTCTCAGGCCTAGTAGGTGGGCGTGTACAGTGAAGAACAATCTGGGGGTACCTACCCACGACACTTAGCATGCACATGTCATTTGACCAAGAAATTCCACAGAAATACTCATTCAACTGCCCTGTCGTTTAAGTGCAAGGATGTTCATTACAGCCTCAGATTTGAAACAGCCTAACTCTCCATGAGTATGAGATTGATTCAGTAAATCATGGGACCTCCATTCAATGAAACAGTATACAGTAATTACAACCAATAAGGTAGTCTTTCCAACAAATGGTGCTGGGAAAATTGGTCTTCCAAATGCAAAACAAACAAAAATGAACCTTAGACCTTACCTTGCCCCATACATAAAAATTAGCTTGAAATAGATCACAGACCTAAACGTAAGAGCTAAAACTATTAAACTTCTAGAAGAAAACAGGAGAAAATCTTAGTGACCTTGGATTAGGCAAAGATTTCTCTTTTTACATTAAAAAAAATTTTTTTAATTGAGTTATTGATAGGTTACAATCTTGTGAAATTTCAGTTGTACATTAATGTTTGTCAGTCATGTTGTAGGTGCACCACTTCACCCTTTGTGCCCACCTCCCACCCCACCTTTCCCCTGGTATCCACTAAACTGTTCTTGGTCCATAGTTTTAAATTCCTCATATGAGTGGAGTCATACACAGATTGTCTTTCTCTTGCTGGCTTATTTCACTTAACATAATTCTCTCAAGGTCCATCCATGTTATTGCAAATGGAATGATTTTGTTCTGTTTTGCAGCTGAGTAGTATTCCATTGTATATATGTACCACATCTTCTTTATCCATTCGTCTGTCGCTGGACACTTAGGTTGCTTCCATGTCTTGGCTATTGTAAACAGTGCTGCAATAAACATTGGGGTGCACAGGACTTTTGGGATTGCTGACTTCAGGCTCTTTGGATAAATACCCAGTAGTGGGATGGCTGGATCGTATGGTAGTTCTATTTTTAGTTTTTTGAGGAATCTCCATACTGTTTTCCATAGTGGCTGCACCAGTTTGCATTCCCACCAGCAGTGTATGAGGGTTCCTTTTTCTCTGCAACTTCTCCAACATTTGTTGCTATTAGTTTTAGATATTTTTGTCATTCTAATGGGTGTAAGGTGATATCTTAGTGTAGTTTTGATTTGCATTTCCCTGATGATCAGTGATGATGAGCATCTTTTCATGTGCCTATTGGCCATCAGTATATCTTCTTTGGAGAAATGTCTGTTCATGTCTCCAGCCCATTTTTTGATTGGGTTGTTTGATGTTTTGTGGTTGAGTTGCGAGAGTTCTTTACATATTATGGATATTAAGCCTTTGTCAGATATATGACTTGCAAATATTTTTTCCCAGTTAGTGGGTTGTTTTTTTGTTTCAATCCTGTTTTCATTTGCCTTGAAGAAGCTCTTTAATCTGATGAAGTCCCATTTGTTTATTCTTTCTATTGTTTCCCTTCTCTGAGAAGGCATGGTGTCCAAAAAGATCCTTTTAATACTGATGTCAAAGAGTGTACTGCCTACGTTTTCTTCCAGAAGCCTTATGGTTTCAGGTCTCACCTTTAGGTCTTTGATCCATTTTGAGTTTATTTTGGTGAATGGTGAAAAAGAATGGTCAATTTTCATTCTTTTACATGTGGCTTTCCAGTTTTCCCAGCACCATTTGTTGAAAAGACTTTCTTTTCTCCCTTGTATGCCCTCAGCTCCTTTGTCAAAGATAAGCTGTCCATAGATGTGTGGTTTTATTTCTGGGCTTTCACTTCTGTTCCATTGATCTGTGCACCTGTTTTTGTACCAGTACCATGCTGTTTTGATTACTGTAGCTTTGTAGTATGTTTTGAAGTCAGGGATTGTGATGCCTCCCGTTTTGTTCTTTTTTCTCAGGATTGCTTTAGAAATTCGGGGTCTTTTGTTGCCCCATATGAATTTTAGGATTCTTTGTTCTAATTCTGTAAAGAATGTCATTGGGATTCTGATTGGGATGGCGTTGAATCTGTAGATTGCTTTAGGTAGAATGGACATTTTAACTATGTTTATTCTTCCAATCCATGTACATGGAATGTCTTTCCATCTCCTTATGTCGTCATCCAATTCTTTCAGAAAGGCCTTGTAATTTTCATTATATAGGTCCTTCACTTCCTTAGTTAAATTTACCCCAAGGTATTTTATTCTTTTTGTTGTGATTGTGAATGGTATTGTATTCTTGAGTTCTTTTTCT